TTTTTCAAGTTCCTTTAAGTGTAAAGTTAGATTATTTGAGCTTTTTTTTGTTTTTTGAGATAGGGCTGTAATGCTATGAATTTGTCTTTTAGGATTGCTTTCCCAGTGTCCGACAGATTTTGGATTGTTGTGTCCTCATTTTCACTTGTTTCAAGGAATCTTTTGATTCCTTCCTAGACCTCTTTCTTGATCCATTCACTGTTTAATATCATGTTATTTAGCTTCCATATATTTGCATGTTTTTCAGTGCTCTTGGGATTGATTTTTAGCTTCATAGCATTGTGAGCAGAGCATCTTCTGATGCTTGACATGATTTCAATCTTCTTAAATTGACTGAGAAGAAATACAAAGAGTGCACCAAAGAAATGCAAAGGGTTGTAAGAAAATATTATGAACAACTATATGCTAACAAATTGGACAACCTGAACGAAACGGATAAACTACTAGAAACATACAATCTTCCAAAACTAAATCAGGGAGAATCAAAGAGCCTGAATAGAGATTATACCAGTGAAATTAAATCAGTAATCAAAAACTCCCAACAAATAAGAGAACTGGACTGGATGGCTTTACAGTTGCGTTTTACCAAACATTTCAAGATGAAGTACCACCTCTCATTCTCAAACTGTTTCATAAAATTCAAGAGGAGAGTAATTCCCAAAACATATTTTACAAGGCCAGTATTATCCTAATTTCAAAACCAATAAAGATACTGCAAAGAAAGTTATAGGCCAATATCTGTGATAAACACAGACACTAAAATCCTTAACAAAATATTAGTAAATGAAATACACTAATGAATCAAAAAGATCATACATCTTGATCAAGTGGGATCTATTCTGGGAGTGCAAGTTTGGTACAACATTCGCAAGTCAATAAATGTGATTCACAGCATAAACAAGTGGGAAGGTGGAAACAAATGCATTTGAACAATAAAAATAAATAAATAAATAAATAAATACATGCCAAAAAAACTAAAAATAAAGAAAGATCTATTCTACCTTAATAAAAATGAAGGATAAAAACCACATGGTCATATCAATAGATGCAGAAAAAGCATTTGATAAAATCCAGCACTCATTTATGATGAAAAAACTCTCAGTAAAGTGGGATTAGAGGGAACATACATAAACATTATAAAGGCCATATATTACAAACCTACTGTCGTCATCATACTCAATGGGCAAAAACTACAAGCATTCTCCTTAAGTTCAAGAACAAGACAGGGATGTCTGCTTTTCCCTCTCTTATTCAACACAGTACTGGAAATTCTAGCCACAGCAATCAGACAAGAAGAAAAAAATAAAAAGAATCCAAACTGGAAAGGAACAATTAAAATTGTCATTATTTGCAGATAACCTATTACTATGCATAGAGAACCCTGAAGATTTCACCAAGAAACTACTAGAACTAATAAGTGAATTTAGCAATGTAGCAGGATAAAAATTAACATCCAGAAATCCGTGGCATATGCCAATAATGAATTATCAGGAAGAGAAATTAAGAAAACGATCCCAATCACAATTGCTAAAAGAAGAATATAATATGTAGGAATAAACCTAACCAGGAATGTTAGAGACCTTTACTCAGAAAATTTTAAGACACTGAAGAAAGAAATAGAAGAAGATACAAATAAGCAGAAACACAAATAATATTCATGGATAGGATGGATTAACATCATTAAAATGTCCATACTTCCCAAAGCAATCTATAGATTCAATAGAATTTGTATCAAGATTTCAATGGTGCATTTCACATAACTAGAACAACTGTTTCAAAAATTTATAGGGCACCACAAAAGGCCCTTCCTAGCAACAGCAATCTTGAGTAAGAAAAACAAAGTTGGAGGAATCATGCTACCTAATATGAAACTATACTATAAGGCCATAGTAATCAAAACAGCATGGCACTAGCATAAAAACAGACACAAAGATCAATGGAACAGAATAGAAAACTCAGAAATAAACCCGCACTTTATAGTCAATTAATATTTGAGAGAGGAAGCAAGCACATACAATGGACTACAAATGCTTTATTCAACAAATAGTATTGGGGAAATTGGACAGATACGTGCAAAAATAAAAATAGACCACATTCTTACACCACACACAAAAATAAATTCAAAATGGATCAAATACTTAAATGTTAGACCTGAACCAATAAAAATCATAGAAGAAAATAAAGGCAGCAAAATCTTGGACATTGCTTGTAGCAATATGTTATTAGATATATCTTGCCAGTCAAGGGAAACAAAAGAAAAAACAAACAAATGAGACTACAACAAATTAAAAATTTTTGCACAGCAAAGGAAATCATCACCAAAATAAAAAAATAACCCACAGAACAGGAAAACATATTCGTCAATACATCTGATAAGAGGTTAATATCCAAAATTTATACAGGATTTACAAAACTCAAGACCGAAAAAATAAAAAACCCAATTAAAAAATGGGCACAGGACTTGGATAGACACTTCTTCATAGAACACATATGGATGGCCAATAAACATATGAAAAGATGTTCAATGTCATTAATCATCAGATAAATGCAAATTAAAACCACCATGAGTATAATTTCACACCTGTCAGAATGGCTATCATAAATAAGTCAACAAATTACAAGTGCAGGTAAGGACGTGGAGAAAGGGAAATCCTTTTCCACTGTTGTTGGGAATGCAGGCTGGTGCAACCACTCTGGAAAGCAGTATGGAGACACATCAAAAAATTAAAAATGGATCTGCTTTTTGACCTAGCAGTCCCACTTCTGGGAATATATCTCAAGGAACCCGAAAAACAAATTCAAAAGAACATAAGCACTCCTATGTTCATTGTAGCATTATTTATACTAGTCAACATAGAGAAGCAGCCCAAGTGTCCAACAGTAGACAAATGGATAAAATAACTATGGGGCATTTACCCAATGGAATACTCTTCAGTCATAAAAAAGGAATATTTTACCCTTGGCGACAGTTTATATGGACCTGAGGAACACTATGCTAAGTGAATAGATGGAGAGCAAAATGACATCTAATGGGGAGAGGGTGAGGAAGTGGAGGGATTGAGCAAAAAAGAAAAAGGATTCATGGGCATGGACACCTGCATGGTGATTGCATAAGGTTACTAAATGGCAATGGAAAAAATACAATAAAGATTAAATAAAAAATATGTCTACTTCAATAGATATAGTCCTTAGTAAACAAAAACTAGCTATTTTCACAATTACTACAGAAGAGATTTTTCTACATAGTTTTGAGTAGCCTGGGGCATAGAAGAATAAAATATAATGCCCTAAGTTACTTGATAACTTTGTACTGATAAAATAACTGAATACAATGCATCTTTCGTTCTTGGCATATAAGAAAAGAACATCTCTAAAGAATAAAAGCTACCTTTGAGAAGAGACGCTTAAGGAATTTTACAGTAGGCAGGAAAATAATGAAAGCATGAGTTAGAAATATGAAGATAAAATTAATAAGGACTAACAGACACAAAGACTGTCCCTTAGTAATCTAGTCTAAAGAAATGTGCTAAATCAACATGAAAGCATTTACCTATAATTTTCTATACCTAATTGCTTTTTGACAATTTTAAACATTTTTATAGAACTATAACTCCGTTTAGACTTGCTAACTGTGCCATAACAATGCCTATGATTTTCTCTTAAGAAAAATATTACAGGAAACAATTTTTTTCTCTGGTTTTCTAGAAACTGATAAATAATCATTCATATTTTATAAATTTTATTTTCAATTTGCATATACAAAATAACTTTATTACCAATGACATACACTCTTTTAAATATGCCATGACGAGGAGGAAATAGGCAAAGAAGGGTGATATATGTCGCAATGTGTTTTTCAAAAGATAATTTATAAATGGACAGGAAGTCACAAGTTAGCATGTTGTTTAAAATGATATGATGAGTTGAAGAAATAGAAAGTGTATTTTGGATACATTGATTTCAATTTTTTCTGCTATCAATATTGGAAAGTCAAAGCTACTTAAATTTTAGAAATCATTGACTTTCGCATACATATATTTAAATTAATGAAAAGGGGTTTAAAGGAAGTTTGCCTTTAACATTGAGAAAATAAAAGCAATCTATCTTCTTACTGTCACAATTTTTACATTTATGAAAATGCCAGTCATGCCCTGGCTGGTGTGGCAAAGTAGACAGAATGCCAGCCTATGAACAAAAAGGTCACCAGTCCAATTCCTAGTCTAGGGCCTGGGGTGCAGGCCAGGTCCCCCATAAGGGGTGTGCGAGAGGCAACCACACATTGATGTTTCTCTCCCTCTCTTTCTCCTTTCCTTCCCCTCTCTAAAAATAAGTAAATAAAATCTTTTTAAAAACGCCAAAAAAACTGAAAATGTCAGTCCATCATATCATTAATTCACTACCCTTTTCTTTATGTTTCACTTCTGTCTATGCTTGGTCTTTAATGTGAGCAGTTATGAGAAATAACAATTATGAAAATACGTGGAGATGTTTAATTGATGCCGAAATAACTTGTATACATTTTGTTGTAAGGGCACCAGCTTACTTTCATACTTATTTATCTTACTAGGTTCTAAATTATATGAAAGTAGAAACCTACTCTTGTACTGCTCAAAGACAACTCAAGAGTCAAGTTAAATGACAACCATATTTTTGTGAATTTAAATAACTTTCATTTTCACAGCACAGGATGGAGGAATTAAAATTGCTGTAAGACATTCTATAGATTCAATGTATACCAAAAGTCAGTTAGGCAAACTTAAAAATAACAACAACCTAAGATTTTGTAACAATAAAAGAACATATTTAAATATTACACTTTGACTTTTTCTTCCCTGAATTTAGTTTTAGGCTGACTGTGGTAGAGTTACCATGTTAAAAAAGAAATCACTTATTGTATCCTTACAAGTTACTTAGTAAATTGAGTTCTATGTGAGATTTAATAACATGCAAAACACTGAAAATACAGTAATACTGAAAACCACTGTGTATTTGGCTGTTACCTTATCGCCTTCGGAGAACGTGATTCCATCCATGGCTCTTTTCCAAGTGATTTCTGGAATCGGCTCCCCTTCCGCTTCACATATGAGTGTGACTTGACCATTCTCATATGTAGTTTCATTTTTAAGCTGTATTATGTGAGGCTGTACTGTAAAGAATATATACATTACTCAATCTGTATTGGAGGAGAAGCCACGATGGGCATTTAAGCCCACATTAGCGTCACATGGACTTGCTAACTTTATAGCAGTTGCAGCAGCATGCCCAGCTCCAGAGCGAGGCCGCCGAGAGAGTTGCAAACGGCAGGTAAAAAAAAAAAAAAAAAAAAAAAAAAAAAAAATCAGAAAACGATTCCCGTTGATCATCATTATAAAATAATTTCAAGTTTCTTACATAACAATATACAAAGTATAATCCCTTCTAAAATTTGCCAATTCAGAGAAAATTTATTATGTATTTCTTCTCTTAAGGCACAAATTAAAATTCCCTCTTTTAAAGCCATGTATGCAAGTGTGGGTGGGGCGAGGGGATGGCGTGCACTTAGTGAGCGATTATCCCTTAAGCTCTTAAAACAATTTCACAAAAGAGAAAAAAATGATGGTTGTACCCTAATCTGTAGTATGTCTAATTACGTACAATATTTAAAATATATATGAAGTAAAGATACACAAATGCTATTTATTTATAATATCCTAGCTGACTTATTTTGACCTCAGTTTATCTTAACATTATTATTAGGCATTTTAGCTAAGTATTTCTTTATAATTATCACTTCTTTGAAAAGGAAAAACATTATGCCTACTAATTTAAATTATCTTATTAAAAATTATGTCCATCCACAAACCTACATGGCACCACAGAGCTTCACATTTGTAAACTCTCTATTATCTCTCATTTATTAAACTTTTACTTGTTAGGATATGAAAGGGGTACAACCCAGTACTTGTTATTTAAAAACAAGTACAGGTATTTTTAAATCTTTAAATGCAATTGATCATGGGATATAAATAAATTGTCCTTAACTGTAGAAAATTAGATTCCTGACATCAGAAATACAGTATACATAATTAAATTTAGTAAACATAATTTTTAACAATTCAGTGTTTACTCCATTGACTTAATGGATTTAGTTACATTTCTACTATATATAGGTGATTTTGTGTCAAAAATAATACAAATTTGTTAAGCGTTACTATACCAAAGTGATTACAACAGTGATGTATCATATATTTCATGCATTATTTTCTATTTGAAAAGGTGAAAAATACTGAAACTTTATTTACATCTGTTCTCACTCATGGCCACCCTATTGAGTAATAAGCAAATAAACAATAGTTAATATGATGCCACTTAGGTAGACTGAGAACATTACCCTTTGGAATTATCTAAGACACCATAATTAACTTATCATACTGAGTCACATTTATTTAACATGATAGGATGTTTTTCTTTTTAATCCTCACCCAAAGACATGCTTACTGATTTTCAGAGGGAGGAAGGGACGAAGGGAAGGAGGGAAAAAGAGAGAGAGGGAGAGAAACATCAATTGTTTGCCTCTCCTATGTGTCCCCACCAGGATCAAATCCATGGCCTAGGTATGTTCTCTGGCCTTGGATCAAATCTGTAACCTTTTGTTGCGTGGGACAGCAATCAACCAACTGAGCCACTTGGCCAGGGCTAATGTAAAGGTTTTAAAGAGAACTGCTTTTTTTTTCTTTAAAGTGGAAATACTGTTGAAACAAATAATTGACTTTCTATAATTCCTAATAATTTTAAATATGTTTGCTCTTCCCTCTATGTGAACAATTTTCTTTTGCCTCTTAGCTTTGCTGGTATCTCATCATTAAAGATTTTTGTGTAGACGCATCCAATCATTACCCTTTTGAGTAACTTTCCAACACCATGTTATCCAAAACAATAGTTCTCTCTACCCAACACTACCAGATTTATCCTTTTTCACTTTCTTCTATTTTGTTATTTCAATAAACTATAATTTTTAGTTATGCTTTTTAAAGAGAACACTCATATTCTAAATATTCACCAGCAAAGGTGTTTTTCTTCTTGAAAACATAATGAAAGCTGAATAAATAATTTATAAAGATCATGCTAGTTCTTTACTTTCTATAAGATTACCAAAGTGGCTAATATGGTAGTAATTATGGAAGATTTATATTACAGTTCCTTTTAATGAAGTGGGAATATTTAATTATAGTTGCAAGTCAATGTTTCCTAATTATAGCCTTATAGGTGTGCTCTTATTAAGTATAATGAAAGTAAAGCTGATCCCAACATATTTCATTTAAAGACTTATGAAGATCAACCCATAAATATTTGAGATCCCAGTAGTTTAATTTAAATGAATTTTCTTCAAGCCCCTGTTATGAAGTCAGCCAATATTTTACAAAAACCTGAACATATAATTTCATGGAATTCTTAAAACAATTACATATGGTAGCTGCAAGTTTAAATATATATTTCAGAGATGACAAAACTGAGATTTAATTTTGGAAAGTTAAACAGTTCTCAATGTTGACAGAGTAAAATTTGACCTCGACCACCTTTTAGGCCTCACAGTTGTAAGGTCTAATACTAAGGGACTAAGGGACTAAGATCTAATACTTACCAAAGACTTGGAGGAATGCCTGTTTTTCATCTTCTCCTGCCTTATTTGTGGCCCTGCAGACATAGTGGCCCCCATCACTATTGATTATGTTTCTGACAGTTAGTTCTGTGTTGCTCCCTTTCAATATGTACTTTTCGCTTTCTTCAATGAGCTTGCCATTCCTAAAACAAACAAACAAAAAACAAAAACAAACAAAAAAACCAGAGGTTGATCTTCATAAATCTGACTTCATAACTCAGGAGAAAATCATACTCAACTTTGTGATCTATAGCTGGCAATCATTTCATGGAGATCGACAGACCTGGTTACATCCCTACTCAAAGTATAGTTCTAGCAGCCCTGTAACATTTCATGCATAATATTCAAGTTATACTTGAAAATAGTTTGACTTTAGAGACAATAACATTTGAATTATGTCGACATATTCATACTAATCTTAGGCAAAAGAGCACATTGGTTCAACCTGTACTGTGATTATTAAACCAAAAAAAGTTTCTCTGATGATTTTAATTCATATATATTTTATGTTGGTGAGCCAACACATATTTACGCAAGCTTTATTTATTAGGTTCTTGAAAAACATTTAACAGAATTTCTATGGAAATGTCCTTTAAAAGAATTTTGAAGTAAATGCAATTTAAATACATAACCATTTTTTAAAAAATAAGTATTGCCAATAAATGGTAAGATGAAAGAATTATGTGAAGATACAGTAAAAGAAATTGTGATGGATATAATGATTAAATTCACTAATCACTTTTTTTTGATAAGTTCCTTCTTAGATTTAAATAATTTTAATATTTTCCATGTTCTTTCTGGACCAAAGCCATAGATTCATTTGGCCTTAATTCTAGCCTTTGTTGTCCACTAAGGCAATGTCTTTCACACATTTTTTATAATAACTGCAGTAGGAAATATTTTAATTATCTTTAAATCTGAAACAATTTCTGTAATTCCTCTTAATATGTATGAAACCTTCTTATACTGTCTATTCTCTTTCTTTCTATTTTATTCTCCACATCTCCTTTTCTTCTGATTTTCTTTCTTCTACATAGAGTTCCTTCTACATTTTTTCTTATAATGGTGTTTTTATGATTGGATTGATTTTATGGTCCACTAATGTAGAAGTTTAGGATCTGTTCTTAGGGCTGAGGAGACTTATCTGCCCATACATGTATAAATTTAAAAAGAAAATTTATTTTAAAATATTGAAAAATATTTTCTCTATTGAAACAGAACTTTTATTTTGGTATACTAAATGATCTTTCCAGTGAATTCTGGTTTTGTTTCCCAGGAAGCATTGGCATATATATTAATATGATCCTTATCCTTCTATAATGCAAAAACGTCTGCTTTTTCAATTTCAATTGACATCTCTAAATAGATCATGAAATGACCAAAAATATCACAAGAGTGAAAAATTAGGGTCTATAAACTACTAAGATCAAATGTGTATTAGTATTCTGTACTTTTCATCTCTTTACTGATCTAATATTTACAACTATAAAAATACATTTCAGCATTTTTTGACAGAATTCAGGTACAGATAGAGCTTTCAGTTCATTTGGTGATACCATATATTTCTCAATCTATTCAATGAAACATATTCACTTAATGCTACTAGTAATATAATAATAATGCACAAGAAGTTTCAGTAACCTGTGGTTTATATAGCACTTTGCCTGTACCATTCACTGGGCTGAATTGTCACAAGTACCCCATATGTGTATTTTCCCTCTCTACCTTCATCCACAGATTATAACTAAAAATTTTAGTATGATTTCCACATCCTTCAATTCACACAGTAATAGAAGCAGCAGATTAACCAAGTTGCAGTGTTTTTTGTTTGTTAGTTTGTTTATGGTCTGATAAGGTGGTTTATTTCCCTAGCTCTGTGATATGTTGTACTAAATGTATGCAGTATAACAAATGAGTGAGACACGGCCATTTATCATGAAGAACTCACTGTGACTGGCAGTAATCGAGGGTATAATAAACCCCATTAACGAACTAATACCCATTTGGGTTTTGTTTTTAGGGAGTATGGGGAGAGATCCACTATAGTAGGAGAAAAGAGAAAAGAAGATGACTGGCATCCTCCGAGCATTTTCAAGGGAAAAAAAAAATCCATGTACTGAGCACTCAAGAATGCGATTTTGAAATACCAAACAAGGTCATAGTTCTTGACACCTCTATGCCAACAAGCCTGTTAGACAGAATTACACTTCGCTATTCACAATCCATTTCTGTGGAATGCCATTGTCTGAGAAAAACACCCAAAGGATTTGAATGGCATTCCATGAGCCCATCCTTTGAAACTCAAACTATTTCTCTAAATTTCCCTTTTCCAGGCACACAAAAATAAGGGTTAAGTTTAAATAATTAACGTGAATGATAAAGAAGGGGGCACAATTCTACTTTTTACCATAATGTAATAACAGGAATATATGTACCCACCCATTTCAAACAACAAAACACTGAACACAGAGATCAAGTTACAGTTTGCAAACATTGGTCAGTAAGTTGTACATGGCAATGAACTCTGAGGACCATCACAGCTTTTTCTGGAGACAGCCTGCAGGCTACGGTTGATAGAGGGAGAAACCTGGGCTGAGCCAGGCGAGGTATCTGAGTTGGAAGACAGAATTCTTAGTTGGGTGAGGTAAAGTGGCTAGATTTTGTGGGTCAGGAACATGCATCGTAGAACAAAATAAACAAACAAATAAAAAAAAAAACCCAGAAACAGACAGATACATGCAGAAAACAAACTGATGATTGCCAGAGAAGGGCCTTGGGGGAATGGGTGAAAAAGGTGAAGGACGGGGAAGTACCAATTGCTAGTTAGAAAATAGTCACGTGGATGTTAAGTTCAGCACAGGGAATATGGAGCTATTTCCGTAAGTTATGTGGTGCCAGTGGGTACCTCAATTATTAAGGGGGTTACTTTGTAAATTACACAATTGTCTAACCACTATGTTATATACACTGGAAACTAATGTAAAATAATATAATTTCTGTATTTAAAAGTAAAATTAGAAAATAAAGTTTAAAAAATGAAAATCAAATGCATCAAGTGTAAAATTAAAAAATAAATGAATAATAAAAATGAAACATGCCTTATAGATAGAATGATCAGCGCACCTTTGACTTGGGTTAGGTCATCTTGTTGATCTCTTTAACAGTATTTTTTAAGTAATTTTCAGAAACAATACTTTCCTGCCTTACAGAATGGTAAGACTGCAAATACTTTTTCATGAGCACGACAAAGGAGATTGGCGTGAGGCATATGGGTGCCTAACCCACCTGTACCAAGAGATGGAGGGCTCTGGGGAGCCAGAGGCCCTGCAGGAGAACGTCATATCTTCTCCTCTCTCTGCTGTGGCGTTAAAGGACTTCTGAGGCATTGTGATGGCTGGCGGCACTGAAAACAGATGAACGCACATAAATAGAGATGAAAAACATTTCAGCAATACCACTGGGGCATTTTTACCATTGTTTTTTGTTGTTAATTCTAAGCTTTAAAACTTGACAGTCAACATCTGTACCTGTCACCAGGACGGACTTGGCTGTGTAGTCAAATCACTTTAAGATCACTAATTTACCTTCTGATGTAAAAATAGAATAATTAGATAATTCACTCCAGTGTGATTTTACTATTTTGATCTATCAGAGTAGACCAACCAACAAAACAAGGACACATTTTAACATATATATGTATGTATGCGTGTGTGCGTGTATATATTCTCTTTATAAAATACTGCTCACAAGAAGACAAGGCTACTCAACCCTGACTTACAGCAATATTGAGATCTACTTGGAGCATAAACGGATTTCCTATTTGGATTTTCATCAGTATATGAAATTCTGTAAGTAATCATTCACTACTTCAAGACAGGGCTTTCAAATTAGGTGTCAAACCATAATGTTCTTCCTGATTAATTGTGTTTAATTTCTTTAAACAACTATAGAGCATTTTATAAAGAGTACTGCTCAAGTCATAGAGAGTATGAAATAGATTTTCATGAACAATTCAATTTCAAAATTAAGTTTCTCCAATTTCTAACTAATTACATTGCAAAACTGTAAATGCTGCACATTTTGGACATGTTGAAACTGTTACTGAAAGGCACTGTTTGCAATAAACAAATCAATAACATCCATAACAGAAGCTAAATTTCAAAGTACAACATAAATTTTGATTTAATGCACACATTTATGATTTTCAATTGATTATGACAAAATGATATTCCCCAAATCAATTATATTAACGTATTTGGGTTTTTTACATATACTAAACAGCTTGACAAGACAGGCATTTACCAGTGTGACTATAATTAAATACCTCTACAATAGCATTCAGGTCAGTATTATTGCCGTTGATAGTGGGGAGAGAAACTGGTAAGTATCCTAGTAATTAATCACAACAAATCAAGTTCTGCCCTCACAAATATAGATGCAAGGGGCATGGTCTGACATGCTATTTCTAAAGTAACACAATAATTACTATTATTAGGGGATGGACTAAGTTTCAGATATTAAGTCTAAATTTTAAGCATGTAGAAATTTAAATGTCTATATCTTATTTTCGTTCTCTTGTAATTATGAAAAAAGACCTTAATAAAAATGTATTGCTTTACACTATGATATTACAAATGTTGCTGTAAGTCTACTATAACTATTTATATTACAGTGAAGATTTTAACCCATTAAATAATTATAATGAAAATAAACTCTTCAATAGAAATTTTCTCTAGAGTGAAGCATTTGTGTACACAGAAACACTTCCAAATGGAAAATTACACGCTGCAGTGGTTGTTCTGTTACTGTTACTAACCTAAACAAGTTATTTATTCTTTATCATAGTCTCCTTTTCTATAAATTACACTCCATATGCTGGATAATTTGTAAGAATTGATAAATCTTAATGTTATGTTTTATGATACATTGACTCTGCTAATGGAATACATGTTCTTACAGTGTACATTAGCAGAAAAATACTAAGAATGCATATTTATGAAGTATTCTGATGAACACTTATAAAGTTATTCTGAAGAATAATAACATCTAAATTTGTGGAGATGTTCACTAGTTCAGTTGCCAAGATATTCAGGGAGGCATTTTTTAAATTATTTTTTTAAAATAGATTTTATTTATTTCTTTTTAGAGAGAGGGGAAGGGAGGGAGAAAGAGAGGGAGAGACACTTCAATGTGTGCTTGCCTCTCACACGCCCCCTACCAGGAACCTGGCCTGCAGCCCAGGCATGTGCCCTGACTGGGAATCGATCCAGCGATGCTTTGGCTCGCAGGCTGGCACACAACCCACTGAACCACACCAGCCAGGACATTCAGGAAGTTTTTTAGCCACTGTTTTAGATTATAGAGTATCTGTATGTATATGTACCTCATTAGAAATAAATTTGCTATGGAGTTGGATTAATTAATTTTTAAAAGAGATTACAATTATCTATCATTCAAATTAATTTTTCTCTCAGTCCCACATCTACTATTATTTTAACTTTTTAAAAATACTTTTTTTCGTATTTGACTATATCTGAAACAGTTTTAATAACTTTACAGGGATTTGCATTCTCTGTATGTTAAGCAGTCAATGCTTTCTGGTAAATTTATGTTCCTATATTTTAGCTTCCAGAAACATGAGAATGTATAGGGAAGAGAAGTAGCTCCAGGACTCTCACTTATACGGAGGACTCGGTCCACCTTCATGTTATAATTCACCTCATTGGTTGCCTGGCACCAAAGATACCATTAATTTGAAAGCTTAATCCCCTTTTATCAACAATGGCATCAGCAATCCTGTATGTTTTCTTTGTCTTGAAATCTGCTTCTATTCACCATTCTTCAATTTTTTTTTCAAAAGAAGAACATGATACTAACCATAGAATATTAATGTTGTTCAGGTTAATCGGTACCAAAAATTCCCCCAGATTTATTCAGGATGAGAATAAAATCCCAGCTCTACTATTGTCAAGAAAACCACCCTTTAATAATTAATTGATTATTCAGATCTGGTTTAAATATTAACAAATTTACATGTAGATCCTCTCTCTAGCAGAGAACTTTTAAACTTAAGACACCATCATTTCTTGTTTACCTTTTTGTGTTTTGACTTTTTAGTATGCCTGACACTTAGAAATTAATATAAGGAGGATTAGAAAATGGCATAGAGGAGAAGTATTACGTAGACATCTGTCTCCCACCTACACAACAATTGTACTGGTAGAATACATCTCATGTAACTATGTGGAGCTCTGGGGACTATAGGAGGCTTGCAGCTCCCAGAGGAAAGAATGGAAGGTAAATTACAAGCAAGGTCTCAAAGAGATGTATTTGTACATCCGTGAGCACAGCAGCATTCTTCACAACATTTAAATAGTGGGAGCAGCTCACATTCTCTCAATGAGAAGCAAATGTGTTACATGCACAAAGTGGAATATCATTCAGCCTTAAAAAGAATGGGGATTCTGATAAATACAACAATATAGATGAACCTTGAGGACACTATGATCAAGAGGGAAGCGGGGGGCAGGGAAAGGGAAGGGAAGGGGAAAGTCAAGGAACATATAGCAAGGACTCATGGACAAAACCAAAGGGGAAGAGCTGAGGGAGGGAAGGTGGGAGGGGGCAAGGGAAAGAGGTGCGGGGGAGGCAGAGACAAATGTATTTAAAAAGTAAATAAATTAAAAAAAAATTATGACAAAAAAAAACAAAACCCAGACTCTCATACTATTGTATTCAAGATTTGGTATATAATCTAAACATTTCTGCCTGTGAAGAACTAGAAATATGTCACGTCAGTGGGAAATGCCAGTGGCATGTTGACACATGTTGGATTATCTAAAATCTATTTTAAAGAAACTGTTTTAAACATTTTCCAAAGAGTTAAGACCGAACCCTCTAGAAACTAATGAAAAGATAGACAGCCTCTGCAAAGACATGCAATGTGTTTAAAAATATATAAATATTGTAACTAAAGTTTTACCTACAAAAAGTCAAACTTTAAAAAGAACAAAACATGCAGATTTTAAATTAAGTGCAAATGGTTTAATCTCATGAATAATACATACTGTCAAAGGGATAAAAATAATCAAATTCTATGTTCATCTGTTGAAAGGCCATTGAAAATATAATAATAAAGATAGAATAAAAGTAAAAAATAAAAATATATATACCATTTCAACACTAACTATAAGAAAGCTGAAGTTTCTATGTTAATTAATATTACTGACAGCAGATTTCAGAGGAAATAATGATACATAATATAAAGTGAAACATTACATAATAATAAAAGAGCCAGTTTTTTTTTAAAAAAGACAATTCTACATGTGCATTTAACTCACAAAAGAAGTTCAAAATATGTAAAGCGAAACTGACTGAAAAGAAAAGAGAACTCGACAGATTCGAAATTACTCTTTGTAACTTGGAAACTTAAGAAATGAGAAAAAGGACTAAACAAATCCATATCAATCATAAGGAAAAAATAATACAAGTAAGAGCAGATACAATGAAATGGAAACTAGGAAAAAAAGGAAGAGTATATATAGACACTAACAAAGACTTTTTGAAACAAAAATACAATTAATAAACCTTTAGTAAGATGTATTAGGAAAAAAGAAGTGATACCACAGATTGCCAGTATCAAGAATCAAAGAAGGAATTTAACTATAGATTTCACACACAGCTCAAGGATAAGAGAAGAAAAGAGGCAGCCAGACCTTGCATACAGATTTACAAGATAACTTCAACCTTTCCCTTGAAAACAACAAACTAAAGGCAACTCACTCCAGAGGAAATACTTAACCCAAATAGTCCTGTTAACTGTTAATATGGTTAAAAGCCTTCTGAAAAGAAAACCTCTAGAATCAGATGGCTTATCTGGTGAACTTTATCAAATGTTTAAGGAAATAATATCTTTTCTACACAATCTCTTCAAAAATTAAATTAGATGGAATAGTTCTCAACTCATGTATAAGGCTAGTATTGAATTGATAATTTAAGCAAGACTTTTTTGTTAAAGAAGAACAAAGTCATAGAAATTATACTACCTGATTTTAAGGTGCACGTCAAGACACAGTGATTAGGGCAATGCGCTCATGGTGCGGGGGCAGACACACAGACAGTGGAATGGAAAGGAGTTCAGCAATAGACTCGTACAAATACAACCAGTTTTTATTTCACAAAGTCCAATTGGGAAATAATGATCTTATAATAATGGTTTTAAACAAATAAATATCCATCTGCAAATACATAGACCTGACCACAAAACTCAATTCCTATATAAAAATGAATGCCAAATGGATCAAATATATAAAGTTATAAAACTTACAGAAGAAAACATAGGAGAAATTACATTTGAGACTTGGGGTTAGACGAAGAGTTCTTAGACATGACACTAAAATAACA